TTATCAATATTTTCTAATTTTTCTAAAATGAATTATTTCTAAATTGCTTACTTTCTAAGTTTTCCACTGTGACGAGTATATAATAAGACAAAATATTTGTAATTATTTTTAAAGAATTCAAGTAATGTCATTTTTAGACAGTATTTGGCAATTCATTTTAACTAGTGTTCCTGTCCTCAAGGAGCTTATGGTTTATTTGACAGAACAACACAAAACTCTTAAAAGCTAAAACAACAAGAGTTAAGTAGCAGTGCAAGACCTATCACACAGCAGTAGCCATGATTAGCACATTACATAAACGGTGTTAAAGAAACTCAGGTCTGGAGAAGTCTGAGAACGCTTATAAAGAAGATAAGCTACAGCCGGGCCTTGAACAGTGGGCTGGCAGGATTCTGGAAACCCAACAAGGTGAAGGCATTCCAAGCTACAGACACGTACACAGAGACATGGATTATACAAGATGTATTTAAGGAATAAAAGCAATCTCCCTTCAAAATCAACCACCAGCAACGCGAACAGCTTGCAGGGCTGCTAGGGAGCCGGCGACGGGATGCGTCTTGGTATGACTGCTGATGACACAGCAGGGTTCAGACTGACCTGAAGTTCTGAACTCAATTTCTACTCTACTCTACGCTACGTGGGCTTTTTATGTATATTACACTTCAGTAAAATGTAAAACAAAATTCTTACCAAGAATGGAGGTCTGGGCACAAGACTTAAGTGTTTGTGCAAGTCCAAGGGTAGAAGAAATCTCTATGGGCTGGTGTGTCTGGGGGAAACTTTTCAAGAGGATGTGTGTACCTCCGATCTCAAAACCTACCATACAGCCACAATAGTCAAAACAGCTTGGTACTGGTACAATGACTGACACATAGACAAACAGAACAGAATTGAGAACCCAGAAGTAAACCCATCCACCTACAGCTGATCTTTGACAAAGGGCTGAAACCCATCAAATGTGAAACAGACAATCTCTTCAACAAATGGTGCTTGCAGAAAAATGAAACAGGATCCGTATCTCACACCATATACAAAGACCACTCAAGACAGATCAAAGACCTAAATGTAAAACCTAAACTATAAAAATCATCAAAGAAAAGAATAAGGCAAACTTAGGGGCTCTAATATATGGCATAAATACACTATCAAGCATAGCTAAAAATGCACAAACAGCAGAAGGCAAAGGAGACAACTGGGACCTCCTAAAAATTAAACATTTACACATACCGAAAAGCTTCATCAAAAGAGTAAAAAGAGAACCTGAAGACCGGGAGAAAAATTTGGCAGTGACAGAAGGCATAGAGGACTAATCTCTAGAATTTCTAGAAAACTCCAACATCTCAACAACAACAAAAAGAAACAATCCAATTGAAAAACAGGCAGAGGACATGAACAGACACTTCACCAAAGAAGACACTCAGGTGGCCAACAAACACGAAGAAATGCTTACAATCATTAGCCATTAAACCAACCAAACTCACTGCTGTCGCGCTGGATCCGACTCATAGCAACCCCTCCTTGGGTTTCCAAGGCGGTATCACTACCAAAGTAGATTGCCCAACCTTCCTTCCAAGGAGTGGCTGGTGGGTTTGAACTGCCAGCTGCAGTGTAGTAAATTACTTAGTATGGCTTTTCTACCCATAAGTCATTGTAAACTCAGTGGTGGAATGAGCAACTGAGGAGCTCCTGATTGTAAATGTTATCCACGTGGAGTATTTCTGTTGGAAGTGGCACAAAACAATGTTCTGGGAGGGTCCTACTCTCTCTCAGGTACTTAGAGTTTGGTGCTGTGATTGGCTAGTTTGACCACTCTGCCAGGCTCGAAAGGAGGCCTCCTAGAGGCTGAACTCTCTCACTGCTGGTTGAGGAAGTGCTGCTAAAAGGGACACACGCTACTGAAAGAGACATGTGCTGCTGGGAAAGAGACGCAAGAGACCCGCATTGCTGAGACCCCGAGGGACATGCACTGCTGAAGGAGAGACTGTGACAGACTTGGCTGAGAGATGGTGGGCTGGGAGAGAGACTGAGCATTTTTCCTAACTTGAATTGTAGCCTGGCGCTTCCCTAATAAACCCCATAATCTGTGAGTTCTGTGTGGCCACTGCAGC